TTCCAAAGACGGGGAGCACAGGCCTTAAGGAGTCCAGGACGGCATCGCGAGCAGACTTGTCGGTTACATGAACCTACAGGTACTCCTGTTCCGACCCGGGACACAAGGAAAGGCTGATAGTGAACCAAGGAAGTCGTTGCCTTTGACAGAGGCTGGACGTCAGTGCAGAGGAGAGAATGTGGGCCCGTGCTCCCTGCACTCTGGAAAGAAAGAGCTTGTTTGCATAAGCAAGCAGCCCCTCTCTGGGAAGGGGCTGGCCAGGCCCCATTGGGATGGAGCCTGGAGGCGCCTGTGCTCCCCTACCTCCTCTGCCCAGTGCCTGGCCCAGGAGTGGTGCTGCCTTTTCATCCGTTTAACCTGAGGAGGATGGGCGAGACCAGCTTTCACTCCCTCATGCATTCATTTATCCATAACCTTTATCAGGTGCAGCGATTCCGCATTGTGGGGTCCAGGCCAGCAGCAGCGAAATCACCCGGGCTCTGGTCAGAAATGCAGACTCTCAGGCCCACCCCAGACCTGCCGGTTCAGGAGTGTGGGAGTGGATGCGCGTGGCCCGCCCCGCGCCAGATCTCACAAGGCGATTCTGAGGCTTGTTCAGATTTGGAAACCACTGATCCAGGGTGGTCTTTGTGCTAGGGATAGGACTACTGATCCCTTCCCTCAGGGGATCCCCCCCGCCCCGAAAAACCTGGCCCTGAGGGTTTCAGTTCTCCTCTCTAACTACCAGTGCTCACTTGGGGGTCCATCTAGGACTTCAACAAGCAATTATCCTTGACCACTATCTCAAGGCTGGGTCTGAGCTTGACTGAAGCTTTTTCAGAGGAGGAGGAGGAGAAGGAGGAGCTGGAGGAACAGAAGGGAGTTCTCAACTCTCACTGCTTCAAAAGGTGCCTGAGGAAGTGAGGACGGCTTCCAGGAGTGTTGAGGGGCCCAAGAGCGCCGCCTCCTGGTGACAGTATACAGAGCTGACTCTACTGGGGAGGGGCCTCCTAACCAAGCTGGCTTTTCTTTTTTCTTTTCTTTTCTTTTCTTTTCTTTTCTTTTCTTTTCTTTTCTTTTTTTTCTTTTCTTTTCTTTTCTTTTCTTTTCTTACTCTTCTCTCTTCTCTTCTGTTTTGTTTCTTTTTATTTATTTATTTTTTTGAGACAGAGTTTCTCTCTTGTCACCCAGGCTAGAGTGCAGTGGTGCAATCTTGGCTCACTGCAACCTCTGCCTCCTGGGTTCAAGTAATTCTCCTGCTGTAGCCTTCCAAGTAGCTGGGATTACAGATGCCCACCACCATACCCAGCTAATCTTTGTATTTTTAATAGAGACAAAGTTTCACCATGTTGGCCAGGCTGATCTCAAACTCCTGACCTCTGGTGATCCACCTGCCTTGGCCTTCCAAAGTTCTGGGATTGCAGGAGTGAGCCACCACGCCTGTCCCCAAGCTGGTGTTCTGTGTCCCAGTGGTGTGACCTGTCTTGCAAGAACCACTCCAGTCAGTACCCGGATGTTTTGTGTGGTACTGCTAGCACCTGGACTGGCTAAATTCAGAGAAGGATCTGGGTTGACAGGTTTGTGTGGATGATGTATCTGTGTGACTCGTCCCCAGTCAGCTCCAAGTGGCTCCAGTGTGTAGTGCATGGCTTTGTGTCACCTGTGGTTTTCTTCCAAGTCTGTTTCAGTTGGGCTGATGGTAAAATGAGCTTCACACAGTCAATTGCAAGGTTGGTGTTGAGCAGTCCTGACTTGGTCATCCGATAGCCAGGAAGGGTGCAGGGCACCTGGGAAATACCGTGCATTCTGCATGGAAGACTGGGGGGAATCTTTGGATGCTGCCCATGGGAGGCCAGTGCTACCCTCCAGAAGCTTCTTGGGCTGGCCACATGGTTGGTGGGCAGAGGAGGCAGGCCAGAGCTTGATGACCTCCAGCAGGTTTGCTGTTGGTCAACCTCTTGTATGTAATTTGTCATGTTCCCCAGCCACCTTAATTATTACTTAGTCAACATTTCTCTTTAAATCAACTCATTCTTTGTTACTTAATATGATTTTTTTTTCTTGAGACAGTGTCTTGCTCTCTTGCCCAGGCTGGAGTACAGTGGTACAATCTCGGCTGACTGCAACCTCCAATGCTCAAGCAATCCTCCCACCTCAGCCTCCTGAGTAGTTGGGACTACAGGCATGCACCACCACACTTGGCTAATTTTAAAACTTTGTAGAGACGAGATCTCACTATGTTGCCCAGGCTGGTCTCGAACTCCTGGGCTCATGTGATCCTCCTGCCTCTGCCTCTCACAGTGCTGGAATTACAGGCATGTACTATTGTGCCTGGCTAATTTAATTTTTTAAAAGACATTTTTGGCTGGGTACAGTAGCTCACTGCCTGTAATCCCAGCCCTTTGGAAGGCCAAAGTGGGTGGATCACTTGAGGTCAGGATTTAGTGACCAGTGTGAAACCCAATCTCTACTAAAAATACAAATATTAGCCGGGCATACTGATAATTACAGGTGGCAGGCACCTGTAGTCCTAGCTACTTGGGAGGCTAAGGCAGGAGGATCACCTAAGCCTGGAAAGTGGAGATTGCAGTGAGCTGAGATTGCGCCACTGCACTTCAGTCTGAGTGACAAAGTGAGACTCTGTCTCAAAAAAAAAAAAAAAAAAAAAAAAAGAAAAAAAGACTTTTTTAAGGAACATCAAGAGATCCCTTAAGTTAGGCTGGGCGTGGTGGCTCATGCCTATAATCCCAACACTTTGGGAGGCCAGGGTGGGCGGGGCGGATCAGCCGAGGTCAGGAGTCTGAGACAAGCCTGGACAACATGGTGAAACCCCGTCTCTATTAAAAATACAAACATTAGCCGGGCGTAGTGGCACACGACACGCCTGTAATCCCAGCTACTCAGGAGGCTGAGGCAGGAGAATTGCTTGAACCTGGAGGCAGAGGTTGCAGCAAGCCGAGATTGTGCCTTTGCACTCCAGCCTGGGTAACAAGAGCGAAACTGTCTCAAAAAAAAAAAAAAAAAAAAAAAAAAAAAAAAAAAAAAAAAATTCGCTTAAGTTAATTTTAAAAAGGAAAAAGAAAAAACAGATGTCAGTGAAAAATAGGTAGCACTAACCAAAAATTGAAGGTGATTATAGAAACAAATACAAGGCAAATCAAGTTGTGGCAACCGTCCATCCTATGCTGTTGCTTGGCTGCCAGAGCTCTGAGCCTGGTGCCTCTCTTCATGTCACAGAAGACACCTGTTAGGGGTGGGGTTCATGGACCAGAAACGTTTTGCTAGAGAAGCAAGAAGGCTTGGAGGTGGGTCTAAAAGAGTGAATGACTTTCTCACGATTTGATACAAGGTAATTGCCGCCCTGTCTCTTCCTAATACCCAGGCCTTCCAGGTACCAGGCCCTATCCGCATGTTTGTGAATATTAACTCATGTTGTCACTGAGACCACCCTATGAGACAGGTCCTGCCACTGGTCCTGGATTTACAGAGGAGGACCGGCCCAGAGAGGTTAGCAACTTGCCCAGGGCCACAGAGCAGGTGTTGGAGAGGGGGAGCTGGATTTGAACCGGGACTGTGCTGCTCAGGGCGGCACCCCTGACATTTGACACCCAGGGCTGCACGGATAGGAAAATCAGCCCCCCATGCATGCAGCCAGGCCTCAGCCCCCTGCTCCTGATCCCCAAAGCTCCATCAGCGAGTGCTCGGCCAGCCACCAGGACTCTCGGTGCCTTTGTGACACCAGACATCTGGGGTAATGGAATACTGAATGTGAGACAGACTTGGTTATTTTCCTCTCTCTCCTCTCTTTCTCCTCTCTGTTTCTTTTCTTCTTCTGTGGATGAAGCAATTCTCGCAGCTCCTGTTGGCCTAACCCCTGCCACGCTGACGAACAGGGCTGAGCAAACGTGGTGGTGGTGGTCGGGGGGCTCAGAGGAAGGCAGGGCTTCTCTTGGAGACCGAGCAGTGGCAATGCCGGCACCCGTGAGTGCTCACCACTCCGAGGACGTGGATGTGGACTCTACCTGGTCTCCTCTGGCCGGGCGGGGGGCAGGCTCAGGCCGGCTGAGACTGGAATTGGGCCCATCCAGGGAGGGTCCCGTGCCTCCAACCCTGGCCCAACCACAGAGCCAGGGCTTGTGCAGGTGGGTGGCTGGCCTGGGTGTCATGGGGTGTGGCTGCAGGCACTGGCATGGGGACCGGGGCAGTCCTTCCAGGAAGAGCAATTGGATTGTGGGCCAGGGGGCCCACAGGCCAGACCAAAGTCCAGGCTCTTCAGGCTGAGGCAGCCGGTCAGGCTGCTGCAGAGAGCAGGCTGGGATGGGCCCTGGAGATTCCATGGAGCTGAATGAAGCCACAGGCAGAGGCAGGAGACACCGGGTGGGAGTGGGGGCTGGGGGCCACAGGCTTTGGAGGCAGGGAAATAGGCAGATCTGACAAACTCAGACTTCAAAGCCTGTGTCTCCCAGTGCCCCAGCTGGTTTACTCTGCAGTGTGGCACTGACAAACCCAGCACCTCCCAGGGCAGGATTTTAATCCTCCCAGGGGCTGACATTCTTGAGCACCTGCTTGGGGCCAGCCTCTGTGCCAACCTCCCCGCAATGTGCCCACCTCACTCTCAGGTACCCCAGGGAGGTGGGCATGGTCCTCATTATCTCCCTTTTTCAGATGAGGAAACTGAGGCTGGGGAGGGTCAACTGCTTTGCCAATGCCACAGCATTTGGTGGGGGGCCAGGGCTGGAACATGAGTTGATCTGACTCCAAAGCGTGTGCTCTTAACCGAAGGGTCTCTGGGCTCCTGGCCACGGCCACCCCCGTCCCGTGTCAGAGCCAATCCGCGCGACTTTCTTTGCGGTGTTTCCGCCTTGTTTAACGTGATTTCTTGCTGAGCACTGTGGCTTACAGATGCTGCTTCCCTTGTTCAAAAAAGCCTCCTCATGCCTTCCCCGTTTCCTTTTAGGAAACTCACCCCTTTTCCGGGACAGGGCGGGAAACCAGTAGGCTTTAGGGAAAAGGCTCCCCTGTGCTGACTGTCGCGGCTTGGCCTTTATTCCCATAGGTGCTTTGTGCCGGGGCGGGCCCCTCCCAGGTGACCGAGGCCGGGTCTGCAGGTCCCCGCGCCCGTAGAGCTCCCGCGCGCCCCCGCGTGGCCGCAGACGGCAGCACCGCTTCGGGAGCGGGGTTTGCAGGAGGAGGGGCCCGAGTGGGAGGGGCAGGGGCCTGGGGCCGGTTATGGGACCCGCGCGCCGGAGGCCCTGGACCTGGGGTGCGGGGCTTATTACCGGCACCATAACAGCCAAGCAGGGGCTGCTGCCGGGGACAGTGGCATGCAGCTTCTGGCCTGGGATAAGCTGGGGAGGCAGGGTCCGTCCGCCACCAGCAGAGCATCACAGCGAGACAGCCGGCCCGGGGCCTACGGGCAGCTCCCGGAGGCTTCCTGCAAGAGCAAGCAGCACGCATTGGCCTGGGAGGAGAGGATGGGGCAGGCTGAGGGCAGGTCTGGTGGGACAGGTGAAGCAGAGGTGCGGTTGGACTGCGAGGGAGGGATTGTGGGAAACAGGCTGGGGGGCTGGGGGGTGCGGTGGGGCGGCAGGCAGTGGAAGCGGGCAGCGCTGCCAGACTGCGCGGACAAGGGCCTGTGTGGGGATTCCTGGGAGGGCACAGGTACGCGGCAGGTGTGGACATGGGGGTGGCGTGATGATGTGAGGCTTCAGACCCTTCTCCCAGGGCTGGGAGGCGGGGGGTGAGCACTGTCCCAGGCCTGGCTGGCAGTGTGCGGATCCCAGGAGGCGGAAGAGCTTCCCCTAGTCTTATGTCTGCTTTTCTGGCTGGAGAAGGACGACTCTGTAAAGTCAGGGCAAGGACTGCGTCCGTTCCACAATGTGCCTTTAACTGGCCACATGTACTTTCAACATGACCTTTAAAGAAAAGAAACGGGCCCAGGAACTGGGCCCAGTGGCTCATGCCTGTAATCCCAGCTCTTTGGGAGGCCAAGGCCGGAGGATCGCTTGAGGACAGGAGTTCGAGACCGGCCTGGGCAACATAGCTTGCTTTTTTAAAAAAGAATTAAAAATTTAAAAATTAATTGGGCATGGTGGCGCACACCTGTAGTCTCAGCTACTCAGGAGGCTGAGGTGGGAGGATTGCTTGAGCCCAGGAGGTCAAGGCTGCAGTGAGCCATGATTGCATCACTGTACCCCATCCTGGGCCACACAGTGAGAATCTGTGTAAAAGAAAAGAAGCTGGCCACAGAAAACAGCCTAGTTCCAAATGGAATTTACCAGGCTGTGATGAAAACTTCGGACCCCCCAGCTCTTAGCCACCTGCTCAGCCCAGCAGATGCTGCTTGTGAAAGATGATTCCGCAGGCTTCTTCCCTACTTTGTGTTCAGTGACCTCACTTTGGTAGCTCAAAATGGGCCACGGTGGGAGTACTGATGCCGCAGAAATGGGTAAGGGCCAACATCAGGGCTTTTTGAGGGGGATCTGGAGAGGCGGTTTGCTGGGACGCCGCTGTGGCTGCCCCTCTGGGGAAGAGCCCTGTGAGAATGTGCAGAGTCACGTGGTCTTCGATTTTCCGTGCTTCAATTTCCTTGTGTGTGAGTCTGAATAATGACGTTTTCTGAGTCCCTCTCTTGGTTAATGTGGAGAACAAATGGTTGTGGACTCTGGCACCATGGAAACCTTATCATGTCCCTGCCTAGTGCTGGAAGACTTGCTTCAAGGACCCAAGCCCCTGAGCACAGAGAGGCAGGCGTTGTGGCTGAAAGTACTCGGGACCAGGACCTTAAAACTGGCATTGACACACCACCGGCCACTCTTTGGCACCCTTGGACCAGTCAGCTAATGCCTCTGGGCTCCGGCATCATCATCTGCAGGAGGGGTTTGGGCTGAAGGGTCCTTTGTTCCCCTTCTGGATGTGACATTTGGCATGCATGGTCCTCTCCACCACATACATCTCCACATTTCTACTTCTCTAAACCCTAAACCTGCTCCTTTCTCTTTCATTTATTTATTTTTGTAGAGACAGGGTCTCACTCTTGCCCATGCTGAAGTGCAGTAGCAAGAACAAGGCTCACTGCAGCCTCCACCTCCCAGGCTCCAGCGATCCTCCCACTTCAGTCTCCCCCTGAGTAGCTGGGATTATAGGCATGCAGCACCATGCCTAGCTAATTTAAAAAAAATTTCCTACAGAGACAGGGTCTAACTATATTGCCCAGGCTGGTCTTGAACTCCTGGGCTCAAGCAATGCTCCTGCCTCGGCCTCTGGAAGTACTGGGATTCCAGGTGGAAACCACTTTGCCCGGCCTTATTCCCCTCTTGATTCATGAAAAGCTCTTGGCGTTTCCTGTCTCACCAGCCCCGCCTTCTCAGTGACTGGTGTGGTCACCATCTCTTCTCAGTCCACTCCTTCTGGCTGGGGGCTTTCATTGAGTCCCATAGCTTGTGTTGACAAGTCTCAAATTTAAATTGCCAGACTAAACTGCATCCCTGGGTATGGACTCATCTGCACAACCTGTGCCCAGGAGCAGCCGCACATGGCCGCGTCACCAGCATTGAGACTGATCACGGCCGAAACAAGTCTCAGCCTCCCCGACTCCTGTCCCCAACATTTTAGCATGTCAGCAAGTGGCTCAAGACCCAAACATCAGACCCATCCTTCATTTTTCTACTTTCTTCACCCTCCCACATAATCTGTCCACAAACCTCGAATGTCGTGCCTCTTAAAGGTATTTGGAATCTGTGCACATTGCAGCTTCTCCACCCTTGCCACTGGAATGTCCTGCTGGGCCCGGCAGCAACCTCCAAACTGGCCACTTCCTGCTCCCGTTTCTGTCCCTGGCCCAGCAGTGAGACCCACTCGTTTCATCGTCAACCTCAGACCCTGTGTGACCTCAGCTTGGGGCTCCCCACTGTGTATCCAGCAACCTCCTGCCTTGGGGCTGTGGTCAGCTCCTGTTAGAGCCTCGCTCTGTGCCAGCCTGCAAGCACACTGGCCTTCTGTCTCATCCAAAACACGCCGAACCTGTCCCACCATGGGGCCTGTCCCTGGCTCGTTCCCCTGCCTAGAATCTCTTTCCCAGAGCCTGGCATGTCTGGCTTCTTGTCATTCTGGTCTCTCCCTAAATCCACCTTCTCAGAGAGGCCATTCCACGCTGGGCAAGTGAAAAGGTAGTGCCTGCCTCGTCGCTGCCTGTGGCTGTCTCTTCTCCGCCATCACCAGCATCTGAGCACTCTGCCTGTGGATTCATTGGCTTTTGTATCCTCTGCTTTCTTGTGCCTTTAAATGGCAGGTTCCAGACTCCAGGGCCTGGACTGTCTTGTTCGACTGTTTTGTATCCTGAGCCCACCAGAGCCTGGCATGGAGCTGGCTCCCGTTACATATTTTTGGGATGAATGAATGACTTTCTTCTGCTTGGTCTAGGAGGCTGTGGCTGCACAGACAGACAAGGGAGCACTGTCCTCAGAGGCTCCCGGGGAGTTCCAGGAACACAGCCCCGGAGCTCTCCTCCCAAACGCACCCCACGCATGTCCTTGGAGGCCAGCTTCCAGAGAGTTCCAGGAACACAGCCCCGGAGCTCTCCTCCCAAATGCACCCCACGCATGTCCTCGGAGGTGGGCTTCCAGAGAGTTCCAGGAATATAGCCCTAGAGCTGTCCTCCCAAACACACCCCACGCGTGTCCTAGGAGGCTCCCGGAGAGTTCCAGGAACACAGCCCTGGAGCTATCGTCCCAAATGCACCCCACACGATGGTTTCCGAGCTATCCCCAGAGTGGAGCCCAGAGATGGCAAGCAGGAGGGGAGGCAGCAGCTCTGGCCAGAGGCTGAGGGAGTTCTGGCTTTTGGGGGAGGGTGGGAATTCTGGCCACTGGTCCAGGTGGTCTGCTCTGGAAAGACCTCCAAGCCCAGAGCAGAGAGGCTGGAAGGGTCAGCCGCGGGATCTCTGGGGTGATCGGTCGCCTCTCTGTGGCAGCCAGGTTAGTGGGAGTCACCCACTGGCTGCCTAGGACTGTAGCCGGACATCAGGGTGGAGGGTCAGGGAGCGTGGGGCCACCCTCCCGCCTCTGCCTTCTGGGTCTCTGACCTTGAGCCATGAGGTGTTATGCGACCTCAGACAGAAGAATCATGGTCCCCAGCAGTCCCATCACAACGAGGGCCCAGCTGCTGGGCAGGACAGCAGACCTTCCGTTGAGCGGGAGAGCAGGCTCTAAGGAAAGCCAGAGGACCCGTGAGGGAGAGAGGGATGGCTCCTCACCCCAGCTCCTCCACAGTAGACTCAGGGTCCTCTGGTGGTCCCCACGAGCCCCCCACTTCCTCTTTCACCGCCACCTTAGTCCCATGGCCCTTGTCCACCACAGCCCGTCACAGCCCTACTCAGGAGGGCCCAGCCCTCTGCAGCCAGGCCCCCACCAGGGTCGCCACCTTGTCAGTTTCCAGGTGACCTTTGTCCCCAGGATGGGTCAGGTTCAGGTGGGGAGGGGTGTGTGTGTGTGGGAGGCTGATACAGGAAGATTCCAGAAAGGAGGCCCTCAGGTTGCCGTGGTGGGCAGTGGGGAGTGGAGATCCAGCAGCCAGGAGGTGGGCTCTGCACAGCAGGCCTGCCTGGGCCACCCTTGCTTTGAAGGCCACCTCCATCCCCTTCTTGAGCAAGGCTGCCCACTCCTCCCGCTCGCCCTCTTGTGCTGCCCGAGATGCATGAGGTGCTCCTGAGAGGTCACGTGTTGTGGGAATGTGAAGGATTCTGGTGTTTCCCAAAGCCAGGGGAGGCAGCCCCACTCGAAGTTCGAGGCGTATCCTCGTCACAGGCATGCAGGCACCCACATGTGCACACCTGTGCCCACCCGAGCAGGCCGCGATTTGGGGCACCCTGCCCTCACCTGTGTGCAGCATAGGCAGCAGGGTAGCCGGGTCCCCATCGTTGGCCTCGGGCACGATGCCCAGCAGCCGGCACATGAGCTCGTACACGTGGACGCTCTCAAAGGGCTCCACCTCCAGGCCCGCCTTGAAGCTGGGGCCCACAGCGCGGAAGATGGTCTTCATGTCCATGTCTTTGTTGTCAAAGCCGTGCTCCCCATTGTTGAACTGGACGTTAACTCTCTGCCGGGGAGTGGTAAAGGGTCCTGGGTCCTTGCTGGGAGCAAGAGACCCTCTCCACCTACCCTATCCACCCTATGAACGCCGCCTTAGGAAAGAGCACCAATATGGGGGCTGGAGGGGTTCCAAGACTCAGTTTCCCTGAATTCTCAGCGTCCGGAGATCAGTCACCCTACAGAGTGAAGTTCAGGGAAGGTCAAGTTAAATGAACGGAGACCAGACCCTGAGTAAATGGGAGTGGAGCGAGCAGCCCCAGGCTGCGGGCCCTGCCCCCTGGGTGGTGGTGAACGCTGGCTCCCATCGCTCACTTCCTTTCCGGGGATGTCTGCTCCCTAATCTGTGCTTTGCTTCTGGCTCAGCGCACCTGTGCTCTCTGCTGAGGGGAGGTCGGGCTCCTGACCCTTTCCTGCCTCCTCCCTGTCACCCTTGGGGCTGGACTTCTACACTTTACCCTGGACACGTAGGGCACACACACGCCTGTCACACAGGGCTCGGACGTGGCGGGTACAGTTGTGCACACACACTCCCACTGCCTGATACCTGAATGTGGGGGGCACACACAGATGCGCGCACACACACACACACTACTGCCTCGTGAAGGGCGTGTCCCTTCAGTGCCGACGCTCCTCAGACTGGGGGCCAGCTAGAAATAGGGAGTGCCTCTATAGAGATGGAAGGAGAGGCCAGACGCGGTGGCTCACCCCTGTAATTTCAGCACTTCGGGAGGCCAAGGCAGGAGGAACGCTTCAGCTCAGGAGTTTGAGACCAGCCTGGGCAATACGCAAAACCCTGTCTCTACAAAAAATACAAAAATCAGCCGGGCGTGGTGGCTTACACCTGTAATCCCAGAACTTTGGGAGGCTGAGGTGGGTGGATCACCTGAGGCCAGGAGTTCGAGACCAGCCTGGCCAACATGGTGAAACCCTGTCTCTACTAAAAACACAAAAAATTAGGCATGGTGGCAGGCGTCTGTAATCCCAGCTACTCAGGGGGCTGAGGCAGGAGAATCGCTTGAACCCGGGAGGTGGAGGTTGCAGTGAGCTGAGATTGTACCACTGCACTCTAGCCTGGACGACAAGAGTGAAACTCTGTCTCAAACGAAACCAAACAAAACAAAATGCACACAAAAATTAGCCAGGCATGGTGGCCTGCACCTGTGGTCTCAGCTACTCAGGAGGCTGAGGTGGAAGGATCGCTTGAGCCTAGGAGTTTAAGGCTGCAGTGAGCTGAGATCCTGCCATTGCACTCCAGCCTGGGCAACAGAGCAAGACCCTATCTCAAAACAAAACAAAACAAAAAACAAACAAACAAAAAAAGGAGACCCAGAGCCTGGGGAGTGAGCCCCCAGAGGTGGTGCCTCCAGCAGGTGACTCACCCCGTGGATGACGTAGCCAAGGTCGCTGTACATCACCAGGGGTGTGACCCTGGGGTTGTTGGCGTAATGGAAGGCCTCAGGGAACTCCTCCTTCTTGTAGACGTGGAGCTTGGGGTGGGCATCCTTGAGCGCATTGTACACCTTCTCCAGCCTCCCTTCTTTAGGGAGCAGCATCCCGTTTGGTCCGTAGTCCAGGAGCTCAAACTTGATGTCCTGGAAGGTGAAGTTGGGGAACTTGTGGAATTCGACCAGGTCGCCAGCCTGCTTGTCCACAGTCGTCATGCCGTGGTCGGATGTGATGATCAGGTTGAGGTGGTCTGTGAGGTGGCTGCGAGCAATGCTCTCCCGCAGGTAGCCCACGGTCCGATCCACCTGCCGCACCATCTCCCTCCTCTCCGGGGACTCGGGGCCGTACTTGTGGCCCGTGGAGTCTGGCTCCCCGAAGTAGAGTGTGACCAGATCCAGGTCCTCCTCCGTGAACCACGCCATCACCGTGTCGATGTTCGCTCTCCACTCCGTCTCATTTTTGTAGTTGTGTGCGATGCCTTCCTTCCGGCTCCGCGTCACGGCCACCCCTTGGTAGGTGACGTTCCCGCCCGGGTAGAAGAAGGAGCCAGCCCTCAGACCCTGCCAGACAAGGCAGCGTGAAGGACAGGACTCCTCAGTGGGCGCCCCTCATCCCATGCCTGTGAACACATTTGTCCCCCACCTGCCTCCTCCTCTGTTCCACCCACCCATCCCTGCTCCCAGCTGCAGCTACAGGGCCTTCAATTTCAAAAACATCCCTGATCTCATGTTCTATGGGGGGTGAAACCTGATTTTATAGAGGAAACGACAGGTGCCCACTGGACTTGAGCACTAAACGAGACATCAGGGTAAAAATGTTCCTAGATACGTAGTGTCTGCCTCATCACTGGGCTATGATGCCTGCCTCGAGGCCACACTGCCCAGAAAGCATCTCCTTCTGATCCGAAGTCTGGCCTGCCCTGCTGGGCTCTGGTCTGGGCATGAGTCTGTCTGTCTGTCCACCTGTGTCCCGTCCACCTGCCCCTCCAGCCTTCTGCCTGGCCGCCTGTCTGCCCCTAACTCGACTGCTGCTTTATTTAGAATTTGTCTGTCCCCCCAGCCCTCTGTCCACCCCACCTGCCCATCCACTCCCCCAGGATATTCTTTCATTGGATCAAGTGCCTTGGGATGCCAGGGTCTCTACCTTGGCTTCCTGCTTGCAAGCCTGTGGAAGGAGCCCTGAGTGTGTCTATGGATCCTTCTGGAGCGAGGGAACTCCGGCTTGAGTGGATACCTTGGCTCTGGGGTGGGCATGGGCTCTGACATTTATTCCAGCCTCCTCTTGGAAACCTCCACTGACTTTGTTTACTGGAAGTCTCGCCTCTGGGCCAGGAAGCCCCCAGAGCATTGCAAACTGGGTGGGGGACAGTCCTGGGTCAATACTGTAACCCACCTCTCATTTTATCTTTGACCCTTTAGAATTTAGCTGTTCAGCTCTGACAGGGATGTGGGAAAGGGAGAAAGTCGTGTAATTGTTAAATGCTTTCTTGTTGAGTCACAATGATCTTCCCAGCCTGACCCTCACCCCCAATGCTGCAGGGCCCAAGGGTGCAGTTCTCCCTCCGACTAGGGGGACAGAGCAATCCCTCTTGCTCCCAGGGCCCCCAGGGAGGACTGGGCAGGGCTGTGTCCATGGGCCGAGCCGGACATAGCTCACTGGTTAGTCCTCACCAGCACCCACCACCTGCCCATTCTGGGGCCCTACTTCACACTCTTCTGTGCCAGGGTAGGCCAGGAACCCCGAGACCCTGGAGTGGGGAAGGGAACTGCTGTGGATCTCACATGGTTCCAAGCCTCGCCTGGGCCTAGGTGCCCCCATGCTCTGCAATGTCAGTATGGGTGGGGGTGACATTACCTGCCTCTGGGCCGTGATCCAGATAGGCACACTGCCATTGTCCCACCACCTCTGGATGCCCAGCGTGGCGTGGTAGGGCAGCTTCACCTTGCTGGTGGTGTTGTAGTACATGTTGTGAACCACCCCATGGTTCTCGATATATTTGCCTGAGGGAGGAAGAGGTGCAGAGGGTGGCAGGATAGACCAGGGTCACAGCGAAGGCCGGACCCAGGGCTGGAAGAGGCGAAGTCAAAGCAGCCTCGGTTTCCCTGTGTGCTGGGTGGGGAGTGGGCCTGGAGCAGGGCTGGGAGGAGCAGACTTCTTTTAGCACTGCCCCGTGGGAGCCAAGGTTCGAGGTCATGTCCGAGACAAATAGACACAGGTTCTTTGAGCTGTTGTACCAATTGCACTTCCACTTTCAGTTTGTCCTGCAGCTGGACGGGCACATAGGCACGAATGCATGTGCGGGGATCCTGGTGGCAGACTTGTTTGCTTTAGCAAAAGATTGCGGGTGACCTCCATGGCCATCAGGAAGGCACTCTTTAAATAAATGACGGCCCAGCCATCAGATGAGACCCTAGGCAGGAATTTCAGTGAACCAGGAGATTTTTTGAATTTATTTTTGTACAGGAAACACGTGCACATGGTACTAAGCCCAAAAGGTGCAAACGGAGAGATGAAGTGGAGAAGGTCCCTCCGTCCTCATCCGCGATACAGAGAAAGAGGTGGCGCACGGACGGGAGAACCGCACACCTCCGTTTGTGTTGGGGTGAACGGTGTCCCACCACGTTCATGCTCGCTTGGAACCTTAGAATGTGGGCTTATTTGGAAATAGGGTCTTTGCAGTGTGATTAGCCAGGGTAAGGGGATGTATACTGGAGAAGTGTGGACGCTAAATTCAGCGACTGGTGTCCTTGTGAGAAGAGGAAAGTTTGAATACAGACACACACAGGGGAGAGACCCTGGGAAGGCGTAGGGAGAGGTTGGAGTGATGCTACCACCAGCCCAGGAATGCCAAGGATTGCGGAGGCCCCGGGAGCCAGAAGAGGTGAGGAGGGAGCCTCTTCTGCTAGAACCTTCGGGGCGGGTGCAGCCCTGCAACGCCCTGGTTTTGGCCTTCTGGCCTCCAGAAGCATGCGGATCCGTTTTTGTGGGTTTAAGCCAGTCTGCAGTTCTTTGTTGCAGGGGCTCTGGGACACCCACACAGGGTCTTTGGAGGATGACCCAGGTTTGGGAGGTGGGCAAGCCCTGAGGGAGGGCCAGGGGTGTTTGCTTTTCAACTCTCTAACACCTTTTTTGCAGTAATTGGCTCTTTATTATTTTAATATTGTTTATTTTTTTGACACAGGGTCGTGCTCTGTCACCTAGGCTGGAGTGCAGTGGCGTGATCGCAGCTCACTGCAACCTCTACCTCCTGGACTCCAGCAATCCTCCTGCCTCAGCCTCCTTTTTTTTTTTTTTTGAGATGCAGTCTTGCTTTGTCACCCAGGCTGGAGTTCACTGGTGCGATCTCAGCTCACTGCAACCTCCACCCCCTGGGTTCATGCAATTCTCCTGCCTCAGCCTCCCGAGTAGCTGGGATTACAGGCATGTGCCACCATGCCCGGCTAATGTTTGTATTTTTAGTAGAGATGGGGTTTCGCCATGTTGGCCAGGCTGGTCTCGAACTCCCAACCTCCAGTGATCTGCCTGCCTCAGCCTCTCAAAGTGCTGGGATTACAGGCGTGGGCCACTGCGTCTGGCCCCCATATTTGGCTTTTAAAAAACCTATGTGTGTATTGTCTACAGCCTGGGCAGATCTGTCAGGGAGGTGTTGGGTGGGAAATGGAAAAGCTGGAAGGGAGAGGGAGAGGCTGACACAGCCAGCTGGAGGGGCAGGCAGGGGAGGGGAGCCGTGGGAGTCATCAGGGAGCCCGCCACGCTACCTCCTCCTGAAGCCTTCTGGGGTTGCTGCCCTGGCTGTGGCCACAGCTTTAAGGACCCCCCCTGGTCATTTTTCTTTGTCCCGGATCTGTTGCTGCCAACGGTGGGGATTCCTAATGGTCCCCTTGGCTGTGTCCTGTGCTTGCAATGAGGACCTCTCCCCTTTATCCTGCATGACAGGACTCTATGCCACCTGGTTTCTCAGGCCCTTCCACCCCCAGGCCCCATCCTGGGGCAGTACTCACCGGTGACCAGGGTGAAGTGGCAGGGGCTGGTCATGGTGACAAAGGCGGGGGTCATGTAGCGTGCCTTCACCCCGTCTTGGGCCATGGCATCCAGGTTGGGGGTGTCCACATCCTGGTCATAGTTCCAGCGGAAGCCATCGAAGGATACCAGGAGCAGCTTGTTCCGGGAGCCCTGACTTTGTACCGGTGCCCCGGCCCCGGGAGCCAGGAGCGTGGCCAGAGCCACAGTGAGGAGGATGGCTGGGCCTCTCATGCTGGGCCTTCCAGATGGACAGGCACACAGGGTGCATAGGACCGGCTCCTGCCGAGGAGGGCAAAGTCCCAAGGTCACCGGGGCTGATCTCATCCCGTGCGTCTTTGGAATGTGGCTGTGCACATCCCTGGGTCGTACCTCGGGAGTGGGCTCCCCAGCCGGGTCAGTGCCACCCCTCATCCCAGCCTCACGTGCGTGGGGTGGCATCAACTTGAGCATCTGCCTTTATTGCCAGCTGCGCCCTTGGGGCTCCAGGCTCCTCCCTCCCTCCCCAGAGTGCGGACAGTGACCCAGGGCTCAGAGCACAGCTGGAGCCCATTCCACCAGGAAAGTCGTGCCCTCTCCCTCCCCCGTAGAAACCGGTGGTCCCGCTGTCCCAGCTCACCCTGACCCCAGGGGACCCAGGTGAGGGCGGGGTGGAACCCCCCTCCAGGCCTCTAGCGGCGCATGGGCCTCAGGTCTGCCTGGGCGAGGTCCTGTGGGGCAGGCTTCCCATGGTCAGGGCCAGGACCAGGCCTGGGTCACAGCATGGCCTTTTCCCGGGGGGAACCCCAGGCTGGGTGCCTCTTCTTCTCCTCTTGCTCCTGTTAAGGGGCTCCTGGAGCTTAGTGAGCAGACCCGAAACCCGATGGCTCCAGAGCAGCATCCTGCGTGCTTTCCTTCTTGGGGTGCTTCCTTCTTGGGAATTTCAGAGGGGGCCTGGGGCTCGGGCATTCTTGCTTGATGGGCTTTTGACAAAGGATCAGAAGAGGGGGACTCCCTTGTTACCATGGGCACATGAGAGGTGGGAGAGGAACCCCTGGATTCAGCGCGCAGTTCTCCCTCCCTCCCTCTCTGCCATCTCTCCTTCCCCTTTCTCTTATTCTCTCTCTCTCTGTCTCTCTCCCTCTTTCCTTCTCTGTATCTCTCTGTCTCAGCACCTATTAAGCACGTTCTGTGTGCCAGGCATGGTTCTAGGTTCTGGGGACACAGAAGTGAATGAGACAGACAATGATCCTGGTGGCCTCCATTCGAGTTGGGGACACAGAAAATGAACAAAGAAGAAAAAAAAGATAGTTTCTCAAAAGAAGGAAGGCAGGAAGCCATGATGGAGACGCTGGTGGGGTGGGTGGGGCGGCACTCAGTGGTGGCTGGTTGGGTTTCGCTGAGAGGATGGTGGAGGTCAGTGACTCTGGGGGACCATGAGCCAGGGGAGCGGGCATGGGACAGGTGGCAGGGGTGGCAGGGGCGGCAGGGCCGGTCCCGTGGGGCAGGTGACAGTGATTCTCATGCTAGGCAGTGGAAGCCAGGGGTGGGTTTTAAGCAAGAGAGTGACATGAACTGATCTAATGCTAAAAAAGCACTCTCCATGTGGGTGAAGGTTGGACCAGAATGAGGGCAGAATGAACACTGGGTGCTCCCCAGAGAGGTGACTGCCTGTGTCTGAACAAGAGCTATTGGTGGCCTGGACCAGGGTGGTGGCTGTGGGATGGGGCTGGGTTTGAGGTGGATCCTGGAGGTTTTTCTGAGAGGTGGTGCACTGGATTGCATGGTGGGAAGACGGAAGGGCGTGGCTGGGGGTATTGTCACAATTTCAATCTGGAGCCACACACCTGCTGACAGTGGCCCTGGCCTTCCTTAAGACCTTTGCCTGGCTTCGGCGAGCAGACGCCGTCTCAAAGCGATGGCCGTGGCACTCAGATGACACCGCAGACGCTGTCCACAGCCTCCCCAGGCCAGCCAGCCTTTCTTGACCCAGGTGGGCAGGGACCACTGGTACGGATCCCCGGCCACCCCTGCCTGGCCGACTGGAATACACTCTGAAGGAGGACTCCGTGCCAGTGACCTTCCTTCTTCACGCTTCTGTGCACCAAAGGCTGAAAACCAGGATGGAGTGACTGCCCGGTGCCTACAACCACCACGTGGGGTGCCTCCTCTGCAGGGCTGGGGCTCAGGCGGGGGTCATGTAGCGTGCCTTCACCCCGTCTCGGGCCATGGCATCCAGGTTGGGGGTGTCCACATCCTGGTCATAGTTCCAGGGAAAGCCGTCGAAGGACACCAGGAGCAGCTTGTTCCGGGAGCTTCCGCAACAAGAGCTTGCGGAACTTGTCCCGGAACAAGTTCCGGGAGCTTGTTCCGAGAGGTTGCGGCTCCTCCCTGGGGAGCACAGACCTTGGGGAAGGTAAGAATCCCTGTGTGTCAGGGACACAGGTTGCGATGCACGCACAGGGGGAGTGCAGGCGGCTTCAGGAGAGGAGATCGGGCTTTGCTGGCACCAGCGTTGGGGGAGGCCCACAGGATGCATGGAGCCAGGAGAGACCCAGGAAGGCTTCAGGCAGAGGGAGCAGGCATGGAGGAAGGGAGGCACCCGGGCTCCCGAGGGGGTCGACCAGGAGCCTGTAGGCCATGGCGGAGTCTGGATTTTCTGCTGTGGGAGAGCTGGTTAGTTGTCCCCTAATATCTGTTCTCTCCCTTTTCCATGATAAGATGGCTGCTAAGAAGAAAGACTACATTTCCCAGCATTCCTTGCAGCAAGGCATGCCCACGTGACCACATCTTGGCCAATGGGGCAAAAGGAGAATGTCCTGTACATTCTCCAGAAGCTAGCTTTGCTTCTCTTCTTTTTTGATTTTTCCTCCATCTGATGCCTCCGGCTGGCAAGCCACCCTGAGCCGCCTGATGAGGGGCTCCCTGGGGATGGCCGGGGTGCGCAGAACGGGCCTGGTCCCCAGTGTTCTGTGTAGTAGCTCAGCTCCAGGCTGCATTCTCACAGGGAGAATACAACACACTCTGCCTCGTTCCCGTTTCCATTATTTTGGTTTCCTGTCACTCTCAGCGGGACCTAGTTCAAGCTGATAATAGAATTCCAGGCCTGGAGGGCATTGCTAGGTTCAAGCAAGAGCTGGCTGTGGGGTGGGGTTCCAGAGGGCCGCCAGGGAGGCAGGGCCTGAGTGAGGAGCCGAGGCCGTGGTCCAGGGGCCTGGCCAGGCCTCTGCTGGGGTGCATTTGGGGTGTGCTTGGGGCCGGTGCAGATCTTGGTGGCTTGCAGGTCTGGGTCCATTGTTGTGCAGGTTATCTTGTCGGTCCCCGGGGTTGTGCAAATTTTTGGTCCTGTTCACCCTCTTACTGCCTGGGCCTGGTCTGGAGATGGCGTGAAAGGTCTGCTCCTGCTCCTCTCAGGACATCCCAGCCATGCTGGGGTAACTCTTCCTCTGGTTTTTGGCTCTGTACCTCAATCCCGCTTTGCTGGGGAGCTCCTTGGGTCACCCCACATAGGTTTCCGTTTTCTCCCCGATCTCATAGAGCACTTGGATGGAAAGGGTGTGCGGTGGTTGATTTTGGATGGAAAGGGTGTGTGGTGGTTGATTTTGGATGGAAAGGGTGTGCGGTGGTTGATTTTGGATGGAATGGGTGTGCGGTGGTTGATTGTAGCTCACGGCTACAGGACATTTCCCACAGTCCAGGCACTGGGAAATAGCCACGATCTCACTGAAGCTTGGAGGTAGTTCTTGAGGCAGGAATTAGTATAATCCTCAGTTTACGGGTGGGGAACTGAGGCAGAGAGAGGTTAAAGTCACTTGGTAACTGGAGGAGCTGAGCTGGAACCCAAGCGTTCTGGCTCCCCACCTCCAGCATTCAGCTTCAGCTGCTTCAAGAGGCAGCAATTTACCAACCTTTGTTCACTTGGGATCCTATTGTCAGGTTTTGGGGCTACTGACAACATTTTCTTTAAAAAATGGTGCAGTCCAGCCTGGTCAACATGGTGAAAACCCATCTCTACTAAAAATACAAAAATTAACTGGGCGTGCTGGTGCGCACCTGTAATCCCAGCTACTTGGGAGGCTGAGGCGTGAGGATTGCTTGAATCTGGGAGGTGGAGGTTGCAGTGAGCCGAGATCACACTACTGCACTCTAGCCTGGGCAACAGAGTGAGACTCTGTCTCAAAAAAACAGAACAAAACAAAAATAGTGCAGCTGAGTATCTTGACACCACTGACTTTTCCTTTTCTTTCTTTGTTTTTTAACCTTTGCCTTCTTTCCTTGGGATACAGTGCTTAGAGAAAGGTTATTGGATGAAGGATAGGAAAGCTACTTGGTTTGTATGATCAGATGGCTGTCAGGTGACAGACCCTCTTCTCGACCTAACTCTACTCCACTAAGTCTTTGAGGCGCTGACCTTGGGCTCTGTCCTCGGCTTGTTTAGTTCAGGTTTAGCAAGAGTCCTGCTGGGTCAGTTTAGTGAAAATCCTATGTGATGACCCTCAATATTTGATCAAATTCCTCATCCTCCACTCTCGATATCTTGTTACCCTGGTCTGCTTTCAGCAACATTGCTGCTGAGTTGGTCGAGCAAGCATCCCCTCTCCTCAGTGTCTCCTCTTAGTCATTTTCCACCCACCTGGCACCCTTGCTACTAGACTGCACACCTGCTTGTCCTTGGTAGAGTGAGACTGAGCCCAATCTCGCTCTCACACAGCAAAGCCCCATGGTGGTAACCCCCCTGGAATAAGGTCTTCCTACCTGTCTTTAGCAAGACAAGAGTCATGAATACTTTTTTCTTTATTTTAAAAATTATTATTATTATTATTATTATTATTATTTTGAGACGGAGTCTCACTCTTTTGCCTGGGCTGGAGTGCAGTGGCGTGATCTCAGCTCACTGCCACCATGCCTGGCTAACTGTTGTATTTTTAGTAGAGATGGGGGTTTCACCATCTTGGCCAGGCTGGTCTTGAACTCCTGACCTCATGATCCACCCACCTCAGCCTCCCAAAGTGCTAGGATTACAGGCATGAGCCATATTATTATTTTTAATAGAGATGGAGTCTTGCTGTGTTTCTCAGGCTGGTCTTGAACTCCTGGACTCAAGCGATCCTCCCATCTCAGCCTCCCACAGTGTTGGGATTACAGGTGCGAGTCATGACTCCTGGCCAAATGTTTTTTCTTTCACATAAGAAAGGTTGAAGCAGTTGATAGTACCAGCAGCCATGAGTTAATGTAAATTTCCCCTCTGCTCCACCCCGTACTACCTTTATTGAGGTTTATCTTTTTATTCCTTTTCGATAGTGTCATAGGCGTGTAATGATATCTTAGAGTATCAAGCCAGAGAAACTGGGAGATTTTCCATGTCATGATTTCTTATCTCGAACTCCCCATGTGAGGACTTTTATTATCCTCGACCACTGATTAAGTGGCTTCTTCAGCACTGAAGTTGTGTGTGTGTGTGTGTGTGTGTGTGTGTGTGTGTGAGAGAGAGAGAGAGACAGGGTCTTGCTCTGTTGCCTAGGCTGGAGTGGAGTGGCATGATCACAGCTCACTGTAGCCTCTACCTCCTGGGCTGAAAAGATTCTCCTACTTCAGCCTCCCACATAGCTGGGACTACAGGTGCACACCACCACACCTGGTTAATTTTTTAATTTTTAGTAGAGACAGGGTCTCCTTATGTTGCCCAGGCTGGTCTTGAACTCCTGGGCTCATGTGATCCTCCCACCTCGGCCTCCCAAAGTGCTGGGATTACAAGCATGAGCCACTGTGTACAGCCCAGCATTAATTCTTATGGTTTAATTGGTTCCTTATATATGTTGCAATGCATGTTTTTTCCTTTTTTTTTCTTTATTTATTTATTGAAAAATAGAGACGGGGTCTTTCTATATTGTCCAGGCTGGTCTTGAACTCCTGGGCTCAAGTGATCCTCCCACCATGACCTCCCAAAGTGCTGGGAATACAGGTGTGAGCCCGGCTACAATGCATATTCTTTTGAATCTATACTTTTGGAATTTTTTTTTTGATGAGTATTTGTCCTTTATGTTTGTCACCTGAAGCTTCCCCATCCACTTCATGCTGAGCATGTGGAGCCTGGCCACAATGCACATTCTTC